CAATCAAGCTATCAGGTTTCTTGCAAAATTTACACTTCTTTTCAAAGGACTAAAGTTCGGCGCAAAGTTAGAGGCAAAATGGAAGCCAATTCAGACAGGGGTAATTCTGTCTACAGTTTCAATTATCCAATTACAAAATATTTTTCTTCATGAAAAGAAATATGATTTTTTACTGACCTCACGGTTCACGCAAGACTGCATTGAAAACTTATTCTCCACGGTCCGTGTACGCCATGCAAAGCCGTCTGCTTTAGAAATCAAGCGACACCTGAAGGTGATCATTGTTGCACAATATATGAAGCCGACATCAACTTCAAACTACAGTGAAGATGACAGAGAGTTTTTAGGGGAGTTTCTAGAAGCACCTGCAGTCAAGAAAAAGAAGCATGAGAACAAGGAAGATAATAAGGTTTCTGAAGATAATAAGGTTTCTGAAGAGTTAAAACGGCTCGTTTCACAAAAACAGGTACAGCTCCAAAAAGGAGAGAGAGACAGCCTGTACAATGTGGCACGTTATATAGCAGGTCGAGTGATAGCGCGACAAAAAATCTGCGAAGATTGCGCGAGTCAGGTGTTACGGAGTGAAGAGGACATGAGAGAAAAGAAACCATACGACTCTTTATTGCGTTTCAGAGAGTATAAAGAGGGAGTATTGACAGCAGTAAATGATAAATGTTTCCAAATGTTTGAAGTGCTGGAAAAAAACTTTCGTGCTTGTGAGATGGTTTTTCCAGAGCTTCAAAATATGGAAACATTTATTATTGAAAGCTCCACTGAAAAAGTCAAACAAATCCGGTTCTCCAGCTGCCATGGAATTAAGGAGAAACTGATTAGGCGCTTTGTAAGGTTTCGTTTGCTAATATACGCTCGTTTTCAAGCCAAAAAAAAGGATTCACTGACATACGGGAGCAAAAGTGTCTGCATGCGTGCACTTGTGAAGCAGCTGGGCCAAAAGAAGGGAAAAGTCCAAAGGAAGAAGAAGGCTCTACCGAAGAGGGGCAAACAAAAGAAGGCACAAAAGAAGCAATCAAATTGATTCTACAAGTACCTTAGGTTTAGAAATAAAATTTTCTGTTCCTACTTTTAATTTGTCGATATTCCTTTTGTGACTGAAAAGGAAAAAATAACTTCCTACAAGCACCTAAGAATGAAGTTTGCCTTCTTTCTGCCCAGCTGCTTGAAGAGTGAGTGCATCCTGCTTTTACTTGCTGACATTATTATTTATAAATTGTTTTGCACATCTAGTCGATGTAATATATCTATTTGCTTAGATTTAAATAATTTTTATGGTTTGTTTTCTTAGTTTTATTTTATTTTTACACATACATTTACTTTTAATTGTTTGTTTTGTTCTTGCCAAACCATTTCAAAGTTGGGCATACTACTTCTACAACTGTCAGAGGAATCTATTTTTAAGGATTCTTCCTTATTATCGACACCATTTCAGAGTGCTCAATTCAATCATGGAATCCAACTTAGACTTTTGCTTCCAATCCCTCCAGCATACCTACTGAACATATTTATCTCACTACTTTATTAAAATACAATTTTCTGATGTGCGACACATTTCGTTCTGTGCAACTAAAATTGCGGTAAATTATTTCCATAAAATATTTTCGTACTTAAGACCAATGATTTAATTATATTTTCATGTGAATTTCTTTCCTTGCTTCTGTTTTTCTTAATTACGTTCTACAATTTGTATTGCTTTCTTTGAAATCATAGAGATGGCAATTGCATACCATAACTTGGTACCCATTTCAATCTGAAAATGTAGAAGCAAACATGAATGGCAGTCTGTCATAAGCTGCTCCCCTTCCTATGAAAATGTTCCAAATTCTTCATTTATCTCTTGGTTGACTGCTTCATTTTGGAAGTATAGAAATTGCAGCTGCATAAAACAATCTATAGAAACTGGTACTGCAATTCGAACCTGCAACTATGGAACCAGTCTAGGATGCATTTTGAAAATAATACATTTTACACCGATGACTTAATTTAATTTTTATGGATGACAGCTCGTCACAAACTGTTTTCTTTAATCCTTTTAATGTTTCTTTTTCTTGTATTTCTCTGTGTTAAGTTTGTCAATATTTAGACCTAGAGTGAATTAATTGCAACTGAATAATAAGATCATGTCAGTCATGATCATTGTGAACACTCTCCTACTTATTATTAGTTTCCATTCATAATATGAAACTTCACTTACCACTGACAAATCGTCTTTGGTTTTTAGTGTATGGCGAAGCATTTGCCCTCTGACTAGATTTTCTTTTCCATTTTCTTCCTAACTCTGCCTTTGAAGTGTATTGAACTCGACACGAATGCTCCATGAAAAGAAATGTCTGCAAGTATGCCCTGAAAAAAATGACTGTTTTGAATAATGTAAATAGCAACTATGAAACCGGTATGGTATTCATCCGGAAAATAATACATTTCAAACCAATGACCTATTTCAATGTGTATGGATGACAGCTTGTCACAAAGTGTTTCTCTTTTTTTAAAATGTTTTTTCATTGTATTTCTCTGTATAAATTTCATTACTTTAAACGTACAGCAATTGCAGCTGTATACTAAACTCATGTCAGCCATGATCAATCCGGACACTTTCGTACATTTATTACTAGTTTCCCTTCATAATTAGAAACCTCACATACCTACCACTGATGAATCCTCTTTGGCTTCTACTGTAAGGCAATGTACTTATTTGCCCTTTGACTATGTTTTTCTTACCTGTTTTCTTCTTAACTCTGCCTTTAAAGTGTATCGCACTAGAGTCGAATGCTCCATGAAAAAAAGTGTCTCCAAGTATGCCCTGAAAAAAATTATTATTCTTAATAATGTAAGTTGATAGTTAACTGATACGGGCAGTTCATCACACTGATTCTCAAAGGAGCTGTAGAGCTATGTATTTAGGCCTTGTGATCAAAATTGTGCTAATGATAAAACAGTTCTCAAGCATTGGTGCTACCCTCTTTATTGATTATATATTTGTGTTCATCTTGTTCTGATACATTTAATTCCAAAGTTGTAATCTGATTCCTTCTATGATTTAAGTTATTAGTGCGCAATAAAATTGAACAAAGAAGGAACTATTGTGACTTGTGATTTTCCTTGGAAAAGACTTATATACTTCCTGATTGGCAAAAAATCTTTTAGACTAGTGTGCAAGCAGCCACTCTGGTGTAGATTTCCCATGAAATCATGCTTATCACACTGTTTGTGCTGACGAAGAAAAGGAGCAAGTACTTACATACCTAACGCTTGCAGTAAACGTTCACTCTATTCTCTTACTTACAATCTTTACTTCTACTGCATTAATAAAATAAGGACTGATTCTAGCATATGAATATATGCTTGTGTTTTTTAATCCAGTAACTCCAGCAAAATGAGTGCCAATTAATTACTGTTTCTGGCTCCCGAAAGTGAGAACTACAAGAGTGACTTGGGCCAAGACGGTCCGAGGCTGAAGGTCATGTTCCTTAAATATACGACATTTCATGATTGAAGTGTTTCATTTAAGTTCTTTCAGTCATACTTAAGGGAAGGTTCCTATAAATAGGTGAACTGCAAAGAGAGGATGAAAACTTAAGGACCTAATAACCTAACTGCAATGAGCTAAAACAGAGGCGATGACAATACTTATGAACAATTTTAATTGCATACTGAGAAATGTTCTTGTTAAAAGAAACTTACTTCAAAACTTTTGAGGTCCCACTTTGACATTGATAAAGTCCATTTTAGTCCATACAGCAACTGTTCGATGGGATTGCATTTCAGCAGTGGCCTTTCACGACAAACCAATGAAGGCCTTGTGATCATGACTCGATTTTTTGCAAAATTCAAATAAAACTTTTCCCTTCGACGAAGATGCACGTCAACACTTAATACACTTCGCAAACTTGGTATAATATAATTTAAAATAAAACATAAAACATGAAAAACTTGAAATAAATCATCACGCATTATTCTAACTTGTCTGAACTGTAAACAAACACATCACTTTCTTCTTACTCTTCTTTCGCGCAAAGATTACAGAACAACGACCTACAACGTCCAAGTTGTGTAATCTTTATTCCCGTTTGTGACTCCATGAGGGGACTTGTCTTGACTCTCAGTATAAAGGGACTCTAGGTTTACGGAACGAAACTTTCGCGCAAGTTCCGTGAAATTTTGCTAGTGTTGACAGGGCTTTCACAAAAAAAGTGCCCAACACGAGTAAACGCGTCTTATGCACCTCTCCTCCTCCGGCACGTTCACTTGATGGTTTGTATCAATGTTTTAAAAGGAATGAGAAGGAGGTGGCAAAATACAGGCGGCCCATGGGTGGCAAGTAGGTAAATCCGGCCCTGATAAAAATCCCAAACAACAATCTAAGTCAAGCATTCCAGTCCATACACTTAGATTGAATATAATTCCTTCACAGAAGTGCGTTATTTGCCTTTTAATAACCAAGTCATATAACACTGAACACCTTTGAGGGGTATAGAATTCAAAACCTGGTAAGCACCATTAGATGTTGTTGATTTTGTCCTTAGTGTTCTTCACCGTAAAAGGACCTTAATGCCTTTGCCTCGTGGGGTCATATCGGGAAATTTCCTCTGAATTGTGTTTCATATTTGGACGTATTCCTAACGGAACTAACAATAAGCGCCATAAGTGGAAGAGGGGAGAGGAGGGGTTGGATTGGATTGGCGGGTTAGGTGACTGAGAAACTCCGCCTTCGCAACGCTTTCTGATGACGCTTCGTCCCGTTTGACAGGACGCGCTATTCGGGATCATAAAATTATTAAAAAGAACTGAAATTGACGCTTAGTTCTGTTTAGCAGGAATACGTCCATCCCATGGCTAGTGGTTACCCATTCAAGTGATGAGAGGAATAAATCCCAGGGCGCTTACCAGGTATCGAATTTCCACTCTTTAGTTGTCTGTGTCGCCGTTCCAAACGTGTCTTCTGAACTTCCGTGACTTGAAAATATTTTGAGTTAATTTTTTTGCAGGAGTCGAATGATTACAGTGTATCTATGTATTGCTTTGGAGAGGACACATCGGAACTGCGGGAGGCGCTAATGACGACGAGCAGGATAAACTGGGGCTCACCAGAAACGACGATTGTGTTCACGGCAATCCCAGAGAGGCTGCTGTCCGTCCTGGAGCAGTGCCTCTCGCATCATGATTTTAGAATCGTACAAACCGAAAAGAGCCTCTATAATTGGAAAACTCCCGATCAACTTAAGACCTGCAACTATTCGTGAGTGCATGCAATCAAAGAGTATTTTATGTCGGTGGTTCATGGCACCTAAACGTCACTGAACATACAGCCACCTCTTTATCATTTCATTTTTCAGACGTTACACATTTTTTTCAAAAAAAAATAAAAAAAAAACCCTGAGAAAGTCATTTTTTAAATCGAAAGTTGTTCCAGACACAATGTTTCACTCGGAGAATTCTATTTCCTGAGTGAAATAAATGTAAAATTGAGTTTCAGAAAGTGAAGATGAAATTAAAAAATTGGGTCAAGATCTGCCTAAAAATTGGCTTAATTACATCAGATGTTTGATAATTTTTTCTCATTTTCATTACTTATTTCGTAAAATAACATGTGTTGCAAGCAACATTTTGACTGAACAAATTGTAAAAATATTCTTCATCATTCAAAGAAAATTCACAGACAGTTTCAATTGGCAATGTTCTTTAGTTTAAGTTTTCTATTTGAAAAACAAAGTAACGTGAGAGGAAAGCAGGGAATATGGAATTCAGTTCGACTAATGGTGGTTGAATCTGTCATTTAAGTTTAGCAATCAGTGATACACAATATGACCCACATCATTGGTCATATTGCGGAGGATACCGCTAATCGTGCATATTCAATACGCTGATTGCCTATCCTCGAATTTTAAGGAGAGCTGGACGTGCTGTGAGCCTTAAGGTATAAGAGTTAGCAACTAATTAAAATACCAGCCTGTGACGAGGGTAAAAGACCAATTGTAAATAATATTTTGTTCCAGGTGTCCTCCGGACGTCGAACTAGCACCTTTGGGCCTAGAATCAGCAGAGTTGGTCAGGAAATATTGGCACAATCTTCCTGGCGCTTCCGAGTACATAGAAACGCTCATCAAGCACAACGTTACTTTGGGCGTCTATTCGTGCTCCACCGGCGAACTGTGCGCCTGGGTGTTATGCAACCAGTTCTATGCGTTTACCATGATGCACACGATGGAAGGACATAGACGGAAAGGCTACGCACAACTCCTTTGCAACGCCTTGAGCGAGCGACTTCTTCGCTCAGGTGTCATCGTCAGAGCTGTGACGATGGCTTACAATAAACCCTCACTGAGCCTCTTTAAGGCACACCAGTTTAAATCGAGCCAGGAACTCTTCGTGTATACCCTTGCGATGCCATTGCGTACAGAAAATTGTCAACAATACGAATTGTAGCGACACACCGAAAAAAAAATAAAATGCAGTTTTAGAATGTATATGATCTCAAAAGTGTATTTGGTCACCCTAGTTGCTGGCTGACTGTCTCCGTTAACTTTACATCATAGGTATACAAAGTTCACCACGAGGATAGTCAAGCCAGCATCCTGGGATTGTACCCACTACATTACTTTTTAATATCCCAGATGCTAAAGTAGCATATTATTTTTCTCGATGCGCCGAACAGTCCTGAGACGTAGACAAGGAGAGACAAAGCTTTTCTCCCTCCTCAAACCTTCTCCCAAAACCTTAAGAGCACCCATCCCCCCTATCTGGAAAAACTGTTGGCCAAGCCTCATATGAACACACTGAGTTATGAGATATTTAAGGGCGTTTTCACGCAGCCATACCTAGAGTGTGCCTCTCATCTGTACTTTTAATAATACTTCATCATTGCTTTTAATGAAATAATTATACACTTTTGAACATTCGCACGGTATATTTTATTTTGCATTTAAACTTAGTTGATCTTGAAAAGTTTTCGAGAGCCTCCCATAATAATACCATAAAATACTCTCTATTGGTAACTGTATTAATTAAATACTAGCTAAAATGGTTTTTCAACGTATTACATACGGTTGTTTTTAATTCGCCTTCAGCTGCGTCCGCAGCAATTGTTGTTACGAATATGTTGTGCGTGCTGATTTCAGCTCATTACATACTCGACTCTCTGAAGGCGTTTTATGTCCGAAAGCAGAGCATCCTGATGGAGAAAAACAGAAGTGAGATTGAGTAAATTGCTCAATTCCTCCTTCGCTCGTTCTCCAACACATTGAGCCACTCGCACACATAAATGGCCTTCAGAGATTCGAGTATGTAATGATCTAAAATCAGTAAGCACAACATATCCGTAAAACAACAATTGCTGCAATCGCAGCTGAAGGCGAATTGTTTTCGCGCATAACAAACCCTCAGAGAATCAAGTATGTAATGAGCTGAAAACAGCACGCACAACATATTCGTAATAATTTTTGCAGACGCAGCAGAAGGCGAATAGTGCAGTTTAAAGAAAAAAGAACATGATAGGAAGTCTGCATGCAACAAGAGGGCATGAATTCGATCGAATGAATAGAACGAAAAATACAAACGTGAATCGATCGACACCGAATCAAGGACAAATAAATAAAAAACCGAATCCAAATCAGAGGAAAACTTGCGTTTATTATGGAAATTTCAAATTGCGAAGTCTCGAAAATTGGGACAGTCAAGATTTTGATTTTTCGCGATTTTCAAAGTCTACACGTACCATAGAGGACCCCCTGCAAACCGTTTTTGGGTACATTTTTGTCATATTTGTTTTTCTTTTGCTTCAAGATCACTGCACTGCGTCCGGTGGTCAGAAAACCCCTATAAAATTCCTGATGTGACATCTTAGTTCTTTCGGTACAGGCAATAAAAAAAAAAAAAAAATGTGCAACAGGCCATTCAACATCCTGCTCAAATACTTTACTAGGTATAACTATCGCAGGAGCCGGATTATCAAGCGTGCGTATCGTCCTGAGCAGTGGCAAGGCGTGAATGATCGACTATCGATATTTTCCCATTTGAAACTGTGGTATAGAATCGATTATTAACGTGTTCGTTACGAACATCCTGTTTTTCGATACTTTTCCATAGGTTCAAATGGCAGCTCAATCGAAATATTATCGTGTTTGTTGCGAACACCCTGTTTATCGATCCTTATCCATAAGATGAAACGGACCGCGTTAAACAGAAAGGAACCAAGCCACATCACCTATTGCCAAATTTAACTATTCAATTTAATTTTTTACGAGAGAACGCTTGTGTGGACTCCTTTGAAAATTTTGAGCAATTTGCTTCGTACTATGGAGAAAATCCACCGAAAGTTGCACGAAAATCCGCACAACCGTTTTCACGTAAAAAATTAAATTGCCTAGTTAAATTTGGCAATAGCTGATGTGGCTTGGTTCCTTTCTATTTAACGCGGTCCAAATAGCAGATCAATCGATATATCGCACAGTGCGCCTAACTTCTGGTCCTAAGCTGCGACACATTTAAAGGCCTTGTCCACACGAGCGCGGTTCGCGGAACTTATTTCGAGGAACTTGTTCCCGGAACAAGTTTTTAGCTGAGCTAAAACTTATTCCTCCAAAACCCGGAACTTCCCCCGTACTCCGAGCTTCTACATATGTTTCTTTTGATGTGAATTTGCTTGTTTTTGTTTTTTACGTCCTTTACATATCTTGACATTTATTTTTGTTACTCTGGCGGTCGTAATAATCTATTATTTTGCAATAGTTGTATAGTTTTATTGAAGTTCCGGTTCCAGTTCGGGCGAACTCGTGTGGACAGCATGCCTCGTTTCAAGGAATATGTTCCGGGAACTGAGCAGTTCGAGGAATAAGTTCCGCGAACTGCGCTCGTGTGGACAGGGCCCTCAAGAATGGTGCATTTGATGAGGATCGGAAATCGGCGAACACTCGAACAGGTGCTCGTTCCCATTAATTACGTCGAAAAGCGCGTCCACGGACGGGCGACCCCACGACTCCTCCCCGCGACGAGGCAGGGATATAACTCGGGAAGCTGCTCATTTAGCGTAGAGTCCCTTTATACCCAGAGTTACGACAACTCACTTTTGGTTGGGCCAGGATTGGGCTGAAAGTGGCCTAAAAAAAAATCCAATTCTGATTGGTTCTCGCTCATGGAGGCCGAAACTAGTGCACCAAGATGGCGGTACCTCGTACGTGAACAAGAATAATGAAAATATTACCTAATTGTGGTTTATCAAGAGTAAATTGTTATTGCCATCGGTCCAAAATGAAAATAGATTAAGAAATTATTCACAAACCAATCTCATTTTCTTTTTAATTGATCAATTTGTTGATGTTGTTGTTTCTGTGTGACAGACATCGCAGGATTCCTGATCCTTATCCCCCAATATCGTTCGTTTGAGTGCACTAGTTTCGGCCTCCATGGCCAGCCAAGGTCGGCTGCCAGTCAGCTGATAATCGAGTTGTCGTTACTCTGGGTATAAAGGGACTCTAATTTAGCGGGCGTAAAGAGTGCGCGGCGAAATCAGGGATTCAGGGGTCGCCCGAGCCGGAGATATTGCACTCGACTGTATCGTAAAAAATGAGCGTTGCTCGTTGCTCTTACCCCCGGCCGAGGCCCCGGGTCCCGGTTATTGCCTCGAATCCCTCGGGGCTCTCCCCCGTTTCTCGGAACAAAGCCCCGCTTTTCCACCCCACCCGAGCCGCCCCACACCCCGCCACGCCCCCGTCCTCCCCCTCCGCTCGGCGAATGTGACTGTGACCTACCGTATTGTCAAGACCCCACGCGCCACCTCCAAGGTTACGCTCCGGCTCAAAGTTGCCGAATTTCGGGTCGGTCGGAGGCTCTTCAAGGAGAACGAGTTGTTTGAAGTGCTAAAATTTTGGCTATCTATTTTTCCGCGCTATGCCGAGGAAAAACGCGTGTGACCATTCAAATGCCAAATCCCCCCTCCCCCTCACCGATTCACCCATCCAACCGCCCGGATAAAATATTAATTTTTGCGCTAGTGTATGTTTTTTTTTTTTTTTTTTTTTTTTTTTTTTTTTTTTTTTTTTTAAAGAAATTTTATTTAAGTAAATGTAACTACAAGAATATGCCTTGTAGCTTTTAATTTTAATTAATTTTAAATTTCATTAAATATAAAAAATAAACGTTAGATTTTTTTTTAACGAAATCATTACTTTTTAGTGTCTGTCCCGAAAAAAACCACTATTCTTTTCTTCTTGAACTTTTTTCATGCACTAAATTAAATCACGAAGAAAGATCTCTGAAGAAGATAATTCACAGAAATTAAAAAAAAGTTTTCCACAACACTCGTATTTTATCAGATAAAAGTTTATACATCATTTGGACTACATTTTGTAATTAGGAACTATAAATTGTGCCTCAGTTTAAAACCATCGTATGTACCATTAGTTTCTCTATCCAGATAGGTGCATTTACAGATGGGTCGGAAGTTATAGTTCCGAATTGCAAAATGATGTCCATTTTTCCTGGGCATAACTCATTCCAAAACCGGATTTTCTCGTTGACCCCGTTAGAATTATATCCAGCTCAGCTCATCATACCTACTCAGAGGCTTAACGTAATTTTGCCTGTGGGGTAAGCAGATGAAAGGATCAAAACATCGTCTTATACATTTCCAAAAGTTAATGGCACTATTCAGAAGCATAATTGTGCAGATCTGGGAAAGAAAATATGAGGTTACGACTTAATGGCCATGGAGAGTAATTACTGCAGAAAACCGTTATCATGTTGGATCCATGTTTGGCTTCCACCAGTGTGCCCACTATTTTTAATCCACTAGGCATACGAATGGGGTATCAGGGTGCTCCATCAATGTAAGGGGTCAACTCGTCAAAGCACCGATCCTAGGAAAAGGGAGAGCTCTGTTGAGCTAAAGAAGAACGCCTTATGAGCCCTCAGACATTGCCAAATTTCCATTTATAAAACTCGAATTTTCAGGGAAATCTGTGGATATCATTCCTCAATTTTTTCAGAAATTTTTATTCCCATATTCAGATCTAAATTATCTAAAAATGTCAAGAGGATATATTTATGACTCTCTGTAAAAACGAACACTTTATCGGCAAAATTTGGCAACTCTCGAGTGTTCATACGACGTTCTTCCATAGCACGGCAAAGCTCCTCTCAATGCGCGACAGAGTAAATCCCGCGGTGCATTTCGCGCACCTGCACTAATTGCAATGGAGTGATTCACCCTAGGTTACCCATTCATCCAAGTCATCAAAGTTGCCGGATGATCAGTATAAATTATTCTTTATAAGACCAAAATGTAAAATGGGCTGATTTTTTTCCAGTTTCTGGCAACATTGTCATGAGTTGTCCCCTACTTATTTACCTTGAGCTGCTGTTAAAAGATCAAAGTCGGAATTAAAGACTAATTCTAATTAAAACGAGTGGTGGTTCTGTGAGAGTAGTCGGGTGGAAAAGCTTATTTTCCAATCGAAAATAGGGGGGGGGGGGGCACGTACCTCCATTAACTAAAATACATTCATAGAGTTCTTTCATGCGTATTTTTCGATTTATTCTTTAAGTGAAAAACGGTCATTCGTATTAAAAAGTCGTATAGGCAAGATAAGTATAATTTAAGAATTAGTATGGAAAAATTGCATGAAGACTTTAGGAATGTCTATATTTTCTGCACATATTTCGCAACCTCTTTACGATATGAACCCGTAAAAGTTGCGAAAAGTGTTTCTACGCAAAAAAAATGAACATCGTAAAAAACTCGAATTTTCAACTGATGAGAGAGAGAGAGAGATTCAATTTGTGACACCACAAACGGATAAATGTTTAGCTACTTTCACCGCTTGGGGTTTTATCATACTTTTATTCATTTTCAAGTCTATTTCTCTCTTTACTTTTCTCTCTCGTTTCTTACTCTCTTGAATGC